GGATTGCCCTTTAAGTATCGAACAACCCGAAGTGCAGCCTCCCAATGCGCTTGCATAGGCTTCTGCATGAACTGAGCGAGGGTATGAACACAATAAGACAACTCTGGTCTCGTAACAGCAAGGTAAATTACGCGACCAACCAACCGGCGATAAACCTCAGGATTGCGCAAAGGAGCATCAGTAACTAGCGGAAGGTGATGATTTTGCTCCATAGGAAAACCGGCGGGTTTGGAACCCAGAAGACCAACCTCCGAAATAATATCCAGGGCATACTTGCGTTGGCAGAGAAAGATGCCAGAGGGATGGCGGGCCACCTCAATGCCGAGAAAGTATTTGAGAATGCCAAGATCTTTCTTGTGAAAACAGGTACTCAAATAGTTTTTGAAAAACTGAATAGCAACTCGATCATTACCCGAAATGATGAGATCATCCACGTAGACCAACACAGTAAGCTGGACAGTTGCTTGGCGAAGGACGAATAAAGAGTAATCAGAAGATGATTGTTGAAAACCATATTGGCAAAGAGCACTAGCCAACTTGGCAAACCAACAACGCGGAGCTTGGCGCAGACCATATAGTGAACGACGAAGGCGACATACCGTCCCGGGAGACGGAGAAGAAAAACCGGGAGGGAGCCGCATATATACTTCCTCGACCAAATCGCCATGTAAAAAGGCATTGTGAACGTCCATTTGATGAAGTTCCCAGCCCTTTGCAGCAGCAACTGTAAGAAGTGTACGGACTGTGACCATCTTTGCCACGGGAGCAAAGGTTTCATTGTAGTCAAGTCCCTCAATCTGATTATTGCCCAAAATGACGAGACGAGCCTTGTAGCGCTCAACCGTGCCATCTGAGCGGTACTTAATTTTGAATACCCATTTGCACCCAATGGCGCATTTTCCGGGTGGAAGAGAATCAATAGTCCAAGTACCACTCTGTTCCAAGGCCTCAATTTCCCGTTGCATAGCAGCACGCCACCGTGCATCTTTAACAGCTTCGTTAAAAGAACGCGGTTCTACCCCTGCAGTGACACTTGCCAAAAATGCTCGATGGGATGATGAAAAAGAATCACAAGAAACGTAATTGTGTATGGGATAGGACGCACCTGAGGAAACCGATGAAGAGGAGGGAGCGAGAGAGGGGCCTGAAGAAGATACTGTGTGGGCAACAAAATCCTTCAAGCGAGTAGAACGCTCCTTAACCCGATGACCACGGCCTAAAGGTTCCTCTGGTGGAGTCGAAGGAAGAGAGCCCCCCCTATCTGAGGTGGAGATACCGGGAGTGTCGGAGGCGGCTGGAGAGTCGGAGGTAGCCGAAGAGTCAGAAGCCACCGATATAGAAGAGGTGGCGGGAGTAGACCCAACAATCGCAGTTAAATCATCATCATCAATGATAGGAGGAGAGTCAACAATAGACGAACTAGGCGGGAGAGGCGTCTTGGCAAAATACGGAAACTCAGACTCGGAGAAGCTAACATCACGAGAGACGAAAAATTCCCCAGACTCTAAGTCATAAACTCGCCAACCTTTTTGGCCAAAGGGATACCCGACAAATAAACACTTGCGACCTCGAGGAGAAAATTTATCATCTTTAGTATGTTTATTATGGGAATAACAGAGGCACCCGAAAACACGCAAGTGGGATAAAGAGGGGGGTTTTCCATACAATATTTCACATGGAGATTTTCCCTTTAAGACATTGGAAGGAGTGCGATTAATCAAGTAACCAGCAGCAAGTACACAATGTCCCCAAAACTCGATGGGCAAATTAGCTTGAAAACGTAAAGCTCTAGCCACATTGAGAATATGCCTATGCTTACGCTCGACCCGGCCATTTTTTTGAGGAGTCGCGACACAAGAAGTTTCGTGCAAAATACCAAGTTGATGAAAGTAAGAGGAGAGACACATGAATTCAGTCCCATTGTCACTACGGATACGTTTAACTGTCTTTTCATATTGACGTTCAACCATAGAAATGAAAATTTTCAACTTTAAAGAAACTTCCGTCTTATCTAACAACAAGTAAATCCACGTAGCTCGAGAAAAATCATCAACAATTGTTAAAAAATATCGTGCACCAGAAAAAGAAGGAATCTTATAAGGACCCCATAAATCACAATGTACGAGTTGAAAAAGCTCATGAGAAACAGTTGTACTGATAGGAAAGGAAGTTCGAGACTGCTTGGCCCTAAAACAAACATCACAGGCCTTATTGACAAAGCTACCATCTTTGGAACGACCGACACTAGGAATCAAGTCGAGAACCTTTGGAGAAGGATGACCTAACCGTTGATGCCACAAATCGACTGAAGGAACCATAGTAGTAGTAATAGCTGCAGAAATCTCCCAATCGCGAAAGAAATAGAGCCCCTCTCGTTGCTCACCCGCTCCAATCGGCATCCTCGAAGTGAGGTCCTGTATAACACAAAAATGTTTATCAAAGTAAGCAACCGAAGCCGTATCATTTAACAATTGAAAAATCGAGATCAGATTGCACAGTAAACCGGGTACATATAACACATTAATCAACGACACTTTGGGGCTAAGAACTACGGTGCCCTCTTTAGTAGCGATAATACGTTGATCATTGGGTAATTGAACCAAAACACCTGGGATATCTCGAACAGTATCAAAATGGCCCAATGAGCCTGTCATATGACGAGTAGCTCCAGAGTCATACATCCAATTACCAAAGACACCCTTACCAGACAAAGAAGTCGAAGGAGCTGTAGGCGGTGGTGAAGCCGAATTGAAAAGATTGCGCAAGACGGTCCACTGTTCGGGATTGATTCCAGTAAGACTGAAGAAGAATGACCGCCATCGGCACCAGCACCAGGAACAGGAGAAGCCATCATGGTGTTTGCAGCCGCGACATTTGGGACAAATCCACCAGCGCCGCCAGCCTGTGCACCACCACCATGCTGAGATTTAATATTCCCGCGACCCCGTCCACGCCTACCACCACGAGACCATCCTTCGGGAAACCCATGAAGTTTGTAGCAAGTCTGAGTGGTGTGATTGGCGCGGTTGCAGTGGGTGCAAAATTGTCCTGATCCTGATCCGGAAGCTGGTGGAGTCGACGCAACACCACGGCCGAAATTAGGAGAAACGGAGGAGGCAGCCAATGCAAGCACTCCGTCACCAGTGCTAGCAGCAACAGGACGAACCCCAGAAAATCCAATAGGAGTTTGAACAGCAAAACTCATTTCTCCGACGGGATCTTTAGATTGAGTCATCAGTCGGAGGCGTTCTTCCTGAACAATTGTTGAAAATGCCTTCTTCAGCCTGGGAAACGGATCTTGGGAGATAAGAGAGGAGCGTACAGTGGCGTACAAAGCATCGTCAAGGCCGAGCAAGAATTGATGCACATTTTCTTCCTCCAGCCGTCGTTCGGAGGCCGCCGTAATATTGCACGAACAGCCACCGCAAGAACATGTCAGAACAGCATCATAGGAAGCGAGTTCCTCCCAGATTTTCTTCAGACGACCATAGTAAGCGATGACGCTCGAACCCTTTTGTCGGCAATTAGCAAGATCCGACTTGAGTTGTTGGATTCGAGGACCATTGACGATGGACAAACTTTCTTTTATTTCTATCCACTGATCACGAGCCACCTCCATGTGAGTGAGTGTGGATCGAAGAGATGGTTCAACGGTATTAAGGATCCATGACACGATGAGCGAGTTTATTGTCCACCAGTCTTCCAAATTTGGTGAAGATTTAGACGGCTCAGGAATGGTACCGTCGACAAATCCAAACTTCTTTCGGGCACGCAATGCAGTCTTCATGGCCTTAGCCCATTCTTCATAATTGCTCTCGCCCCGTAATTGGACTTGAGTGATAATATTGCCAGGATTATCACTGGCCGTAAGATCGAACGGCGAAATAGTCCGATGCCTGGGAACATCATCGCCACTACTGGGAGGAGTCCTTTGGGAGGACTCCGGAGTTTTGTCGCCAACAGAGGAAGACATGATTGGCGAAAAAAAAAAAAAATAAATAAATAAATAAAAAGAAAGCAGGATCAAAGAAAAAACTCTGGCTCTGATACCATGAAGAGAAACTCAATTCTTAACGACAATTGAATTATGTTGATTGATCAATATTTCTCTGGTGAGGTCTGTAGATATAGTTACAAGATGGAGTAATCATCTCCGTGAGATCTGCCCTAATCTATGTAATTACAGCAAGATATATTCCCCATATACAGACTTAATATATTTACCATATATATAGACCTAATATATATTTCACTGAAATTCATTCACTGTGACTTGTGGAGAACAGAGTTTGGACATGTTCTTAACATTCAGTACTCGATTAAAATGAGGTATGCGAACGATCGAGCAATAACGATTAGATGTTCGTAATGATTTTTTAATTGAGGAAAGTATCACTATTAATTATTAATATCAGATATAGATTCATGTAAAGTGTTAGTTGCACAACAAACTGAACATGAAAGATAGACTAATAATAAAGAATATACTCTCAATTTAACATTGATAACTCATATACATTAGCCTTAAACCATCCCTCGATATCACTTCAAATCCAGCAAAGCTAATAAGGTAAGACAAGCAAATTACATTTGCTATGTCCAACAAAATGTTGTAAATTTGTCGAAATGTAGCTGAATATAACGTATTTTTCATAATTCTACTTGGAAGTCGAATAATGTTAGTACGCCATTGTCAAAATTCAAACGTCTGCATCTGCTTAAGGCTTTACTTCCTCTTTCGACAAACCATTTCGGATTTTTTTCGTGTTATACGAAAGTCCACCTCCTAATTACTGCTTAGCCTGCAAAAAAAGTTCAAACAAAACCCAAATTATTCATTAGGGAATAAGTTTCGATTATGTTCATACAAACAGACTCGAAGACGGTTATTGCTGCATATTATCCTATCATTTTTGGATTCTCAAATCCAATGTATTTCAATCTTCATCTTTGTAACTAAGTAATAGTTGTAGAGTGTGGGCTCAAGTAATGGCCAAAGGGTATGTATGAGCATGACAACAACATGTTACAAGTTGCTCTGCCCTCATCACATGTTAGAGCATTTTTTTCTTGTCCTAAAGTGAAAAAAATAAAGGTGCAAATGAATTTTCAAATTCACCACGAGATCGATGCATTGCCGAAAAAATACGAATATTTCACTAAGCTTTTTCGAATCTTTTACTAAAACCCATACCTGAGAATAAAGGAAAGTGCCAGAGATGGCAATGGCTGCACCAAGTGCATTGATCGGCTGTAAAGGGGTGTTGAAGATAATGATTGACGCAACAATAACCGAGATTCTCTTCATCGTGTTGCCAATGCTAAACGTCAGTGGAGATATCTCGTTTAGGGACATGTATGATACTTGGTTGTATAAGTGGTAAAACACACTCTGGGCCATGACCCACCTGCAGTTAGCCGAATAATTCGAAATCAGAAATGCTGTTGTTAGTTAACCTGTCCGACTGTCTGACTGACTGTGGTCAGTCAGTCAGTCAGTCAGTCGGACTTTCTTATAAAAAATGCAGACTTATACTATAAAATGTTATGCTGTACTGTACATTTTTACAGTTAGAGCTCTAATGCTGACGAAAAATCGAGATATATGCAATCAATCTTGTGACTTGTGAGTGATCAAAAGACGAAACTGACCATATGAAGTTGGGACCAATTTGAGAGACTGCTTTTTGCCAGCCAACAGCCCACAACTGAGGTCCCTCCACAGCTATAGCAAAAGGAGTGAGTATCAAAAGGGACATCATTGAAAGGCAAGCATAGTAGTTCATCCCACCGACCGATCTCCCTTTACTCATTCCTCTTTTCGAGAATATGTTTCGGAATACAAACGCCAAATTCGACACCATTGCCCCCATGAAACCTGCGCAGAATCCGACATAACCGATATCACTCGAAGAATCCAAGTGATGTCCAATATGCATACAAATTATAAAAAGCATTTGAATTTCTTTACCCGTAAGGTTGAAGTTGAGCTCGGTTGCGGCAGAAAGCGCGCAGCCTCCGATTATCGGCAGCAACGACAGGTAGACCGGAGTCGAAAAAGTTTCTCCAAGCAAAAATCTCGACACCAAGACAGTGAAAGCCGGCTCCCCACTCTTGATAATGTGAGTGAACGACACCGCGACTTTCGACATGCTAACCGTAGCCGCCACATGTCCGATCGTATGCGCCACCGCAACCTACGAAAACGGTCGAATTACGAATTCGTGTCGGCACATCATTTTTGGCAGTTAAGACAAAAGAAAGAGAAAAAACAGAGTTTTTTTTTTTCTTACAGGAAACAGAGTTTTCCAGAAGTCGAGGTCGGTTTCGGGTGCCTCGGCCAGCCGGGTGGCCCACGAGACTAGCATGAGCAACGAGCCGGCAGCTAGGGACAAGGTGGAGGTGAGCCAGGGGAAAGGGAAGGCGTTGAGGACCTTTTTGTTGTAGACGTTGAACACGACGTTGAGGGCCCACCATGCGGCGAAGTAGAGCCCGATTTTGATCCGCTCACGGTCGAGCTCGATGGTGACGGGCACCGGCTGCCGAGCCTCGTAGGCCTGGCAACGGGCCGGAGGACCCGGTGGGCCACCGGGGGGTTTTCCGAGACGGGCTGCGGCGGTGGAGATGTAGAGTGGCTTGTGGTGGGGCAGAGTGATGTGTGGTTGTTTGGGGAGGGTGAAGGGGTTTGGGGTGGAATGTGTGATTTTGGGTAAGTTGTGGGGGAATGTTGAAGGGGTTGCATAGTATTGGGTTGCTGAGAAAGCCATTTTTTTTTTTT